TAATAGTTATGGCACACGTTTTGCAACTGTAACTATAATTACGATGGCAACATATGCTGCATTTACAATCAAGACGACTTCATGGCGGTAAATTTTATATTAACTCACACCTTTATGATATATATATATATATCAAGGAAATTTAATTAGTTTAACGATAACCTAATAGTACCAAATTTCGTAAAATGGCAAATCAAGCTGATAATGAGGCAGCAACAGTAGCAGTGGACTCTTTATTAAATTATGAAGCTGTTAAATACTTTAACAACGAAAAGTTTGAGACAGAACAATATGATAAGGCCCTGTCCAAGTACGAAAAAGCCTCACTCAAAATAGCCACTTCCCTGGCATTTTTGAATACTGGTCAAAATTTCATTTTTAGTACTACTTTAACAGCTATGATGGCTTTGGCTGCTCAAGGAATTGTTCAAGGTATTAAATTCATATAAATTTTTAAAAATTTATTATAATATATTTCAATACTCTCAATTATATAATTTATTAAATAAATCTTATTGATTATAGGAACATTAACTGTTGGCGATCTGGTGATGATTAATCAACTTGTATTTCAACTTTCATTACCTTTAAATTTTCTTGGTTCGGTTTACAGGGAGTTACGACAAAGCTTGATCGACATGGATACTATGTTTAATTTACAAACAATGAATATTACTATTAAGGTATTGAAAATTATACTAAATATTTATACATGTAATTTATACGCGATTTGAAGAATCAATTGTTCTGACGGCTTAGGATATGCCTGACGTGAAACCACTCATTATCCAAGGTGGTGAAATCAAATTCGAAAATGTAGTGTTTGGATACCATCCTGATCGCCCCATTTTGAAAGGTGTTAATTTTGTTGTACCGAGAGGAAAAAAGATTGCAATTGTAGGACCAAGTGGATGCGGGTAAGTCCATGAAATAATAAGGTTAATAATAATTATAATTATAATTATAATTATAATTAATTATTATCTACATTATTATATTTGCTAAAGTTTTTATCTATTCTTATTTAGAAAATCGACTATATTACGGTTATTGTTTCGATTTTATGATCCTCAATCTGGAAATATATATATTGACGGACAGAATATTAAAAATGTTACATTGGAAAGTTTAAGAAAGAGCATTGGGGTGGTTCCACAGGTAATAAATATTAATAAAAAAAATTTTTTTTTTTTTTGTAAAGTTTTATGAAATCTAATTAATAGTATAATTGACTAATTTTCGAATAGGATACAGCTCTCTTTAACAATTCTATTTATCATAATATATTATATGGCAAAATAAACGCTGATTCCAATGAAGTAGAAAATGCTGCAAAAAGAGCTCAGATTCACGATGCAATCCAATTATTACCTGATAAATATAATACTCGTGTTGGTGAACGTGGTTTTATGCTTTCAGGAGGGGAAAAACAACGCGTAGCTTTAGCAAGAACAATTTTAAAAGATCCCCCAATACTTTTTTTTGATGAAGCAACTTCTGCATTAGATACTCATACCGAACAATCCTTACTTTCTAATATAAGAAGTATACTTCAGGAAAAAAACAAAACGAGTATGTTTGTTGCACATAGGTTAAGAACTATTTCAGATGCAGGTAAGATTATTATTATACTTTTATTGTCTGAATTTGTTTTATATGAATTAACGTTTTTTATTTTTATTTATTTTATTAATTAAAAAAAGATGAAATATTTGTATTACGCGATGGTGTTATAGTTGAACATGGTACTCATGAAGACCTTATACAAAAGGAAGGTGTTTATGAAGATATGTGGTCTACTCAAGAAATTTCAGATTCAATATTTGATGAAGAATTTGTTGAAATTCAAGAAAATGTTGAAACAGAACGCAAAGAAAAGGCTGGTTCAACAAATAATTAAATTAAAATTTATGTATCTTTTCAAAAATGTAGTAAATTTTGTAGGTCCAATTTATATATTTATATTAATTTAAAAAGATTCATATGCATGTATAATACTTATATATTACATATTATTAATGTGTTGATTTAGTAGTTAAAATTAAACTTCTTTAAATCTTAATTAATAATTGGATTTAGAATTGTGCATTTTCTATATATATTCTTTTGATTCATCTGCTGTATGATTAATCTAAATAATGTTGTATTTTTGGTAATCAATATATTAACAAATCTCCTGAATATTTATACATACAAACTTCAGAGTATACTGCATTTTATCAAATCATCTGTTTCTGAAATACAAGTTTTATTAAGTAAATTAACATTGTTCCTAACTATATAAAAATTTTATACCACAAAGAATAACATTTGCACAAACGTTAATTAATGTAAGAATTTTTATGTTACGTCATTAACTATTTTTAGTGTACATAAATTAATTTTAAATGTTTATTTAGCGCACACGAATTTTTTAAATACAATGAGCGCTAAAATTATTTATTCAAATTAAAAAAATAAATCATACATAATCAATATTCGTATATGGTAGCACACATAAATTAAAGCTTGAATTTTATACACTGTTTATTATCTGTAATTATAAATATTAATAGGGCACATTCTCAAATTTCATCATTTAATAGCGAGAAAAAATTTCATTTATTATAAAACGCACCTGTAGTGGTTTCTACCTACTGTATTATAAGTTGTTTTTATTATGTTTGTTAAATTTTTATAAGTTTTTATAATTTATTTTGGGTTAGGACTTAAGGTTAGATTTAGGATTTGGGAAAGATTTTTAGGGGCGTGGAACATTTTTATTAGTTTTTGAGATATTGACATAGCGATAGATGTAACACCATAGGTGCGTTTTAGTAAAAGTGAAAATTTTAAACCCTCAGGCTTCATGAAAACCATTCTTCATATGGTGACATTCCGGTACAATAAATATAGACCTTTTACTAATGTTCCCAATATCATAGATTGTTTTACGAGTTTGACTTTAAAAAAAAAAATTCATCAAATTTTATCTTTAAAACCAAAGATGAACATGGACAAATTACCCTGAAATTTGTTCAATAACTAGAAAAAAGGCGGCGTTTTGTAGGCTGAAGGCTTAATTGTTAGATTTTATATTTTAGAAATAAATTTAAAATTTGATAAATTATAATTAAGATTACATTTATAACGATAGTAAATTTATAAACCTTTGTTGTAAAAGTAAACCCATCAAAAGTAGATCATTAAGAGTACGAATTCTTTATACACTTACAAATGTAAAGCCTGTCGAAATTCTTTATTTCCAAGGTTTAATTAAAGCCTGCGATAACGTCAAACCCTGTGACTTAAGAATCGTAATTGCCCAGGCAAGACATAAAGGAAATTGCATACAAGAGCAAGTTCCTGATTTTCCTTCCCAAGCAGTGTTGCAAATCCAATTCAAAATTCAATAATGGAATTTGGACTAAGTTCCAATTGGTCCAATTCCAATTGAAAAAATTATCCAATTAAATTTATTTATATATATAATGTTATATAATAAAAATAAAATTTACTAATAACTAAAGTCAAATATAATAAAAAAATTTTTATTTGAATTTTATAGATTTATAATAAAAAAATTTATTAAATTTGATCAGATAATTGTTGAGATATCTTCAAGTTTTTTATTATTTGAATTGGTGAAATTATTTTACCAATTTCATCAATTCACCTCAACTCACCTCAACTCACCATCAATTTCACTGTCATGGTGCAAAAGTGACAGTCCCAGAAAATAGGGTCGGAACTGTGCCGAATGCACAAAGTGGCAAAGTTAGGTCTATGACGTGTCGATCCGAATAACATCCAAAAATTCGTCTATGTGTCGCCCCCGATTTGCATGCACGTTGTTTGGACCAAGCATGACACGACAATAATCGTATCGGTATGAGAAAATCATACGATAGCAGCATCTATGCCCCCCGTATATTCAATAAATTATATAAAGACGTTACAACAACTTAGGACGACTCTTATGTGCGAGGTAGGAGCACATAGGGTTGATCATAATAATAGGAATTGGAACCCGAATCACCAACGTCACGCCTCTGGCGTGAAGCCTTGAAGATAATCGTACCATTTCCGCCCGTACCAGTACGATAATATGAAATATAGAGGGTTCCGTTCAAACGTTTTTTTTTTTTTTTTTTTTTTTTTTTTTTTTTT